GTAATTGTCCACCCAAATGCCCTTCTGAATTTACTCAAAACCCTAATCAATTTACTTTCTTAATGTGATTCTAAAATTGCTGGAATGATCAAAGGAAGAGTAAAGTTATTACTCAAAAAGGCATATTTGAGATGACAAGGTAAAACCTTAAGCTCTAATTTAGGGGTCACTTTGATGGATGGTCTTAAAAAAAAATTTAAAGAGGAAGTTTCTAACAAGTCAAAACTTTTATTTATCAAACTTTCATTCCCTTTATTTGTTACAATAGATTTCCTGAATATCTCTTTATTCTTTTCATCTTCTTCCTCTTCCAATAATTCTCCTTCCAACAATTCTTCTTTTAGTCTCTCTACTATGATATCTTCATAATCCACCCTAAAGAAATCTATATTCTTCTCTTGCGAAAGTTTTATAGATTTAAGAACATCAATTGTAACCTTCTGATCTTGAACCCTCATAATTAATTCACTCTTTTGCACATCGATCATAGCTTTTCCAGTAGCTAAGAAATGTCTTCCTAAAATGAAAGATATTTCCCTATCTTCTTCATATCTAAAATAATAAAATCAACAATTTATCAACTTTAATTAAAACATCTTCTATTACCCCTCTTATATAAGTGAAAAATCTATCAGCTAATTGAAGAGTAACATAAGTTGGTTGAACCTCTCATATATCTAATCTTTTAAAAATAAAAAATATAATGAGATTGATAATAGATCCTAAATCACATAAAGCTATCCCATATAATTTGTTACAAATAGTTAATGGAATGGTAAAACTCCCAAGATTTTTAGGTTTTTTAGGAAGTTTCTTTTGAATTACAGAACTACACTTTTCAATTAATGCTAAAGTTTCAAATTTTCCAAGCTTCATTTTCTTATTTAGAATATCCTTAATAATTTTTTCATAAATGAGCATTTGTTCTAAAGCTTCAGAGAAGGGTATGTTAATGTTTAATTTTTTAAATACTTCTAAGAAAATTCAAAACTGTTTGTCAAGATTTTGTTCGATTAACCTCTAATCTTGAACCCTCATAGTTAATTTACCCTTTTGCACATCGATCATGGCTTTTCTAGTAGCTAAGAAAGGTCTTCCTAAAATGGAAGATATTTCCCTATATTCTTCCATATTTAAAATAATAAAATCAACAAGGAAAATAAATTTATCAACTTTAATTAAAACATCTTCTATTACCCCTTATGTATAAGTGAAAAATCTATCAGCTTACTGAAGAGTAACATAAGTTGGTTGGACCTCTCCTACATCTAATTTTTAAAAATAAAAAGTATCATGAGATTGATACTAGAACCTAAATCACATAAAGCTCTCCCACATAATTTGTTACCAATAGTTAAAGGAATGGTAAAACTCACAAGATATTTAGGTTTTTTAGGAAGTTTATTTTTTTAAATTATAGCACTACACTTTTTAATTAATGCTAAAGTTGTAAATTTTCCAAGCTTCTTTTTCTTATTTAGAATATCCTTCATAAATTTTATATAAATGAGCATTTGTTCTAAAGCTTCAGAGAAGGGTATATTAATGATTAATTTTTTAAATACTTCTATAAAATTTCAGAACTGTTTGTCAAGATTTTGTTTGATTAACCTATCAGAAAAAGATGGTGGTGATCTCTCTACAACTTTCCTAATTAAATTTTTAGGTTATTTAATAGAGTTAGATTATTTAGTTGATGATTTATTTTCGACTTATTAATTTTCACCATCATTCTTCTGAGATAGATCTTTCTCTTTGTAAGGGTCTCCCAGACCTTTCCCACATTTGAGTTGGATATTATGACATTATTCTTCCAATTTTTGCTAATTAATCAACCTAACAAGATGCCCTATTTGATCTTTAATTTTTCTAAGAGTATTAGATTGATTATGCAATTGGATTCCTAATTGCATAACAATATTTTTTAAGAATATCTTCCCATTCCTGTCATGATGGAATTGTTCAAAATATGAGTGATAATGATGCAGTGCTACATGACATGATGTTGTGACACTTAAAATTCTAGGATCTATATTGATATTATTATACTCATCCATCATGATTATAACTTTAAAGTTATCTAATTTCTTAGAAATTGCTGCAACTTGTGCAGTTAAAATTGATAAAACATCAGTTTCATATACTCATGCTACTTTCTTAAGATTTACCATATCAGTAGGTCACTATAAATTATTACTAATCATTTCTTCTATTAATTCTTATGCTTTCTCAAATAGCTTAGACATAAATGATCCTCTAGCGTAGCATCTATGATTATTCTAAGAGATCCTACTAATCCATTGTAAAATGTTTGAATAACTAACCAATCAAGTAAATCATGGTTAGGGCATTTCCTGAAAGTTCAACTGAGGTGGTTAAACCTTGTTGAATTTCCTAGACACATCAGGGGGTGGGGAAATAAAAATTTTCTCTGGAACTTAATTGAACAATAATGTAAATTTGCTCCTTGAATTTTTATAATAAAAACTAATAATAAATTATTTTTCTTAATTTTTTTTTTCACCAATAATCAACATACCCAAAGCTTGATAGTCAAAACACAGATTTACAAGAATAATAAACGTTAAGAAATTAAGATGCATAAAATAAAAGCACGTAAATAAAGAACGAAAACATAAGATTTTATAGTGGTTTAGTCAAATAATAACATACATCCACTCCCTAGAGTTCTCCTCTTTGAGTATTGCACCAAACTCTTAGTATCTCTTCTTTATGTCCCACAGTAAGATAGAGAAGCTCTTACACAATCTTTTCCACCAATCCGGTGCGATAGATTATAAAAAGCTTTTTCACTCTCCAGTGAAGGCAATGAACCTCGAAGCTTTTTCACCATCCTAATAAAGGCAGTATACCTTGAATCCTTTTTCATCATCCTGGTGAAAGTAAAGAACCTAGGTCTTTGGCTTTGAAGAATTTGACCCTCTAGCTACTCAAAAGACGAGCAAAGACACTTTGAGGAATCAAGGCAGAAGCTTGCCTGGAGTAATCACGTGAACCCCCTCACACTACTTCTCCCTCTCACGCAACTTCTCCTTCTCCCTCTCCAAGCTCTCAACTCTCTCAAGCACCCTTATAGAATTCTCACAACAGCCAAAGACTTCACAAGAGTCTAATAAGAAATCTTTTATACAAGACTTCAAAAAACTCTAAATTTTAATTAACTAGAAACTGTTTGTATAGCACGATCAAGGATCATACAATATGATTAGTTAAAAAATCTGTTTCTTCTAGCTTGGTTTGAGCAATTTCAGTATGATATGTTCAAATTTTTGCATACCTATCGTACAGTACGATCTTGGGATCGTACGATATAATTATTTCAATATTCTTTTGATCATATAGGACAAACTCTGGGATGATTGAAAATCGTTTCTCCCATTCATCTAGATGATTAATATCATATTGTACGATTAGTTCAAAAATTAAGGTTTCATCCAAGATGATAGTCGGGATGATTGAAAATCGTCTCTGCCAATTGTCTAATATGATTGATATCATATGGTACAATTTGTAATATTAATTAAATATTGATTTGATTGACTAATCATGAGGATTAATTTAGAAAATTTTTGAATATCATACTGTATGATATATCGTACGATACGATTAGTTCAAAATTCAAAAATTAAAATACTTACCTAAATCTGTTTGGCGGCTAGGGTTTTCAAATTAAATTGATTGTACATAATGATATGGTTTATACAATATGATTAGTTTTAAAATTTATGTAATTAGCCATTTTAATCATTTTTTTTTGGATACTTGATTGTACATTACAGTAGGGATCGTACGGTGCGATTAGCTCCAGAAAAATTTGATCTTCCATTTTCTCACTCTCTTATGTGTGTATGCACGGTTGCCAACTTAGCATACACATTTTATAGGACTTTATCTTAAAAAATATAAAAATAAATATCATTTCTTGGGTACTTACATCAGAAATTAAATCGAGAAAACTTGTTTGCAATTTGGAAACACTTCAATATCATTTCCTTGGGTACTTACATAAGAAATTGAATCGAGAAAACCTATTTGCAGTGAAGAAAACCTTGCTTCTGCCTGCCCTAATTCTGAAATTTGTAGAATACAAAAACAGAGAGTTAAAATCCCATCCGCCCGTCCCTAGCAAAGCATGGGTAAACAATTTGAAAACTCAAACTAACATAATCACTAATTTACCAAGTCATAGATGTTGAAGCTGAATAAATCTTCCTCGAAGGGATTGGCTGTCAAGCATGCTAGTGAATCTCATGAGCAGCGAAATGCGCGAGCAAACCAAGTAAAAAAGAAAATTAGGGTGGTCAATCCGCTTGCCGAAATAAAAACCCGCAACATAGCAGGAGTTCCAAAGGCTTTCTTTATTAGGGTGGTCACTATTAGAAATAACCTTTCTTTATTAGATTTAAATGAGAATTTGATTCTTAATAAGACACAATCCCCATATAGTAGGATAAAGACTTGATGTTGTTATTGTAGGAGTTTTCAATTTTTGGAGGTGGGGCACATGCCCTCGTGGGCACCCGTAAATCCGCCCCTGATTCTATCTAATACTATCAAATATGCTAATGAATATGAAATAATGAAAAGATATACGTTTGAATTTGTTCATTCACTGTGATGCATTCATCATAATTCATAAAGAATGTCCGATCTTTCTCATCACATCTACATTTATCAGAGCTTGACTAAACCTTAGATTTAGTTCATGATTGATGGAAACATCTAACGAACAAGAGCCTAAAGCTCGAGTCATGTCCAAATTTCACTGGGCTTGGCTTATTCATTTTTAACTCAAGAACTTGATGTTTCAAAGTAGAACAATTAAGTAGGTTCTTTTTCCTTTTTTTAATTCAAAAGATATTAGAAGTTGTTGAATCCCGAAAATTTTTTTGAGAAGGAAACAAAGTACCATTGTTACCAAAAAAGTTAAATGTTGACTCGTTGTCCTCCAACCATCTAACCACCTTCATACTTGAGCATGACAATAATGCTTAGTCCATTTTTTTTGGATATGATTAATAAATAAACAACTTTGTATTAATAAAGAAAAAGACATGACAAAATGAGAGCGTTTCAGATTAAGAGAGAATGAAAACTTTGTATTAACAGATCCCATCACTGTAACTTGGCGGTATTTGCAAAGAAACAACAGAATTCTGATCCAAATTATCAAGAGCAAGACCTCATAAATCCAAGGTTGTGAAGGAACCTTTCAGACTGAGACCTGAAGAGGTTACAGAGAGAAAACTTTCCACTTTCATGCGATGAAGCCTTTGAATAAATGTCGTCCTTAACGCAAAGAACAGTTTTTCCTATCTCATTCCTCACAGCTTCTATTGTTTGGCTCTGAACTGGACTTCCTGAAGCATCTGTCACATAGAAGACATTCAAGGCTTGAGAGCCCCTTGTTGAGACCTCTGCGCGAATGACTGAAAGCCCATTTTCTCTAAAGATTCGGGTTACTTCAGATAGGAGTCCAACCCGATCTTTGCTGCAGAGCTCGAGCCTTATCCCCTGAATCATACAAAAGGATGATAAAATTTGTATATTTATATGTTTTAGATATGTTGAAGTATGAATATTTTGAATCTTTTGCTGATACCTCTGTGCTTCGCCTTCTGATTGCAGCTTCCAAGCAATGGATTAGTCTCTGCTTCTCTCCTTCAGAGCTAACTGGGAATCCATCTCTACGTCTGATGTAGTACTCCTGCATTTGAAAGTAGTTATACTTACAGATTTGACTTATCTGAAGCAACATTACGTAAAGAATTTCTCAGCTAAATTGCTTCCATTGGTCTACAGGTTAAGAAAATTCTCAGGCTAACAAGGCCATACAAAATCTACGCATGGGGGAACAAGAACTCAAATATATAAACAACGACAAAAACTGAGTTGAATTGATCATGGAAAAGGTGGAATTTATGAAGAATAATGAATTCATCTTGCTGTTTGAGGGAACCCGAAGTTTAAGAACTTGTAATTTGTTGACTATAAGAAAACACAAAAAATTCAGAATTTACATGGCTACCTGATAAGCTTCTGGCCCTTCGGAGATGATGGTGGCATGGAACACTACATAGAGCATATCCGTCATGGTGAAAACTGTGTCGAAAATCAGCTTCGGCCGATCCTTGCTTCTTATGTAAACCACTGTGTATCCTCTCTCTGTGCAGTTTTCTACTGAAATAACCAGCTTAATCTTGTCTCCTTTTTCCTCTTTCTCATCAACACAACCTTCCCTATCAAAGTCATGGTCATCATACATCATCTGGTGTAATCTTCGCTCTGTGTGAGTCACTCCCACAGAGATATTAGTCTTAGCACTTTGCTTCTCCCTATCTCCTTTCAAGACATAACAAAGAAGATGCTTGATCTTGGCCAACCGATCAAAATCGTCTACCGGTCCACCGTTAGCCTCCTCGGTGATGTAAATGACCGACGCCATCCGAGAATTATGGGTCCAAACCTCAGCAGCTACAATGTTGCATTTGAGGTCAGTGAGCACTGCAAAAATCTCTGAGAGAAGCCCTGGCCGATCTCTACCTACAAGTTCAACGGAAGTGCTTTTGGAAGCAGCTTGAGTGTCTACTGACTGTCTCACTGAACGGAAGCTAAATGCTCTTGGTCCAAGTGACTGCAACATAGTTTGGTGCTTGTGAATAAAAAAGTTCAAAAATGAATGAAATCCAACTTATAAAGTTAAATCAACAATAGTGATGCATACATAGCTAAGATTCTCCTACTCTTGCCTCAATAAGAAATGAAGCAGAAAGGGTTTTCAAAGCTTGAAACAAGTCATCAGTACTCACAAGAAGAGTTACCAAAGAGAAAATCATCGGTGAAAATTCACACTATGGACTCATCTGGTTGCTTGGATTAGAAAACAGGTTCTCATTTAGCTAAATGTTACTAAAAACCAATATGGATTTTCAAAATTTATAAAAAAGCTATAGATTATCTCAAAGGTGATATTTTAATTAGACATTCATATTGAGTAAACATGAAATCAAAAATTTCTAAAACATGTTTTCAGTAAAGCTACCAGCGAAATCATGTACTCCTGATTTGCGACCAAGTACTCGTGTGGCATCCTAGTAGTTCTTGATTTTATATAGAATAGCATTCCAAGAAAAATACTATTATGGGCTGTTTGGTAGCAGGATTTAGGCCAGGTTTGAGCTAAATCTAGCCAAACGGCCAAAAATGCAAAACCAAATCTCACGGCAAATGAAAGCCGGCGTAGACGGAAAATTCCGCCCTTTTGTACTAAATCATGGATTTCCGAAATCCTGTTTTTTGCCGGATTTACGAAATCCTCTGGCTCTATTGGTGCGGGAAAGAAGAAGCTCCGTGTAATAGCCAAACAATCACATAGAATTTAACAGAATGTATCATGAATGTTACCAAACAATTTTCAGAATTTAACCCCTCATGATTTCGTAAATCCGGATTTAGAGGATTTACGAAATCCTACTTAAATGAAATCCTGTGTGCTACCAAACAGCCCCTTAAGCGAATAACTTTTACAGGAAAATTGTTTTTTGTCAATTGAATAGAGATTCTTAAAAATCATACCTGCTGAATTCGTTCAATAACTTCACTTTCATAGATCTTGTTCCCTTCTTGGTCCACAACATGAAAAACTACATAAAACAGAACAAATGATAAAGAACAGAAAGAGGAATGAGAAAATAATAGAAGCAATGTGATTAATTGTCATGCTACCATCCATGAACCATTCCCCATCAGAGGAAATATAAGCCCTTTTGATTGTTAGGTTCAAATCAATCAAGACCTGCACCACTTCCAGTAAGCTCCCATGCCTATTAGCACTGTCTACCTAAATCCCAAAAATTTCAGTAAGTAGTATAAGAAAGATATCAACACTTTAAACTTGGAGAACTAAGAAATGTTTAAAATAAGAAAAGCCATGGGTGACCTTGACCAAGGTGGCCTTCTTGCTGGTGTTGTTATCCACTGTAACCCTAGAAAATCAAGAACATAAACAAAAGCTTTAATTTAACCAGAGTTCCAAAAATTTTCAAGAAGTGTGAGAAGAGAAAGAAAAGCAAAGTTCTCACCTTGGAGGGTTCATTCGAATCACAAGTTTCTTATACTCATCCTCCTCCCCAATTGAGTGCGAGCCAAAATTCATCATGGTTGGTAATGAATTAGTGAGATAAAAAGAGAGATAAAAGCTGCAAAGAAGGACTTCCTCTCTTTCTCTTGCTCAGTCCACTTATCTTCTTCCTTTGTACTGTCTCACTCCCATCCCCCAATTTCTCCCAATATATATGATTATGTATGATGTAATCGCGTTGTGATAGCGATTTAATACCTTCAATGCCTCAATGGTGGGGAAGGAGAGAGAGAGAGAGGGAGAGAGGGAGAGAGAGGAGAGCTAGTTCTATTTTACTTCGCATATTGTGTGCTTTGTCTTGTAAGCGTGCTTTCAGCTGTCATCATATCGTATATTGAATATTGCGAAATTATTAGTCGTGTAACATATGGGGGAATAAGCAACTAATGAGCGTGTGCAGGTGGTGCACATCATAAGTCATTTATATGCATTCTTTTTGTATTAGCTACTTTCCGCAGCTCACCTAATGGTTAATGGTTGGGAAATTATTACTTCATTTGTCTGGATTTGTCCGGAAATTAATTCAAACGCGTCATGTCATCCGAATATACTGTCTTTTGATATTAATTATAATATTAAATGATTATCTTATTAAGTGATAATATATGAAATATAAAATTAAATATGTCTCATTCTAATTAAAAAAAGCATAATATTCTAATTGTTATGTTTTAGAAAGTTTGAGTCGGTAGAGTATGTATTATGTCTTAGTATTGTACAGAAATTTAACACGCATAGAGAAAAGTTATAAGACCAGGACTATTTTATATGAAAAATTCGAAAAAAAGGGAAAATATCACTGGGCCTAGCATTGTTGAAAAAATTTATTATATAGCTGATGATAAAAAAATCCTCCATTCCTCACAATTAAAGAAGAGAGGATGATTTGAAAACGAATATCTTATTTTTCTTAAGAGAGATTATAGATATCAAGTATTCACAGATGAACAGTTAATACTAGGCAGCATGGATTGATTTCCCCAATAGAGATAATAGGAGTTTAATGTCCACATGAAAATAATTAATACCTAACAATAAGGTTAAATCTTAGCAGGATCTTTATTTATATGCTTTTGGGATGAACATTTGAGAATTTGAATCAAAATCCAAAACACTCTGTCTACGGTCCACATTGATTCCCTTGATTATGAGCATTTTTTTAGCATTTAAGTGCCTTAATAATATCAAAATTGAGTGATCTTGAGCTCGTTAGATTTCTCTCGTCAAGCTGCTCGATTTACTATAAGCATGCCTAATTTGGAGTTCCAAACATCATGATTTTTATTTTAAAAATTTTTAATTTAAAGATCTCAAGATTCATTCCGATTAGATGTTTTTTTTTTAAATCGTATAACTAGTAGATAATTTTGTTGCGGACTAGAATATACGCGGCGATAGAGTTCAAAAACTTCCGTCTCATCGTTGTATGGATATCTAGTACACAAACAGTTTGGCGCAGTCTGTGAGAATCAATATCCCACAACTCCAAATATTGTTACGATGGTCAACAGGCACAGTAGTCGTATCATTGGAGCTTCTCGCTCCAACTCCCACCAGCCCCTGGTTTTTACCCTTTCAAGGTTTTCCACGTAAAAATCATAGTGTTGCTATTTCTCATATGTTTGTCTACTAGATATCTATACAACGCCGAGACATAAGTTTTTGAACTCTATCGCCGCGTATATTCTAGTCCGCAACAAATTAAAATAAAAAATTCTTGATGTATTCATTCTTCACATATTCTTGTAAATATTCTGGGAAGATGATTCATGCATACAAACTTTTCTGGATATCTATTCTACACTTTATTCGAGATGCGTATTGCTAACTCATTTGATCATGCAAAGCAAATGAACTGAGGAGAGAGAGTGCCAAAGAATCTCTTAGCGAAGATTTGATTAATGGACAAAGCCACAAAGGTATGGCGCACTTAGCTTTCCCTCTTTGATATATTGCTATCTAATAAATATGTTATGCTTTTCTTTTTTTATGAGCCTTAGATTTTGAGATTCTTTACATTATCAGAACTTTACCAAACTATCTTAATCTTTTCATTCTTATCTTCTTCATGAAAGACATTATTCTTTTCAGCAGCTTTATCGTCATTGAATCTCTACATGTTAGAAGTCAACGCCCATTTCCATCTCAAAAAATATATTTATTTAGGTTATTTTTGGGATGAATTTTTTCTACTATTCTTAAAATAACTTTTAGTAAAAAAATTAAAATTTTATACTAAAAGCTGCTTTAAGAAGTAGTAAGAAAATTATTTCAAATAAAGTCTTAATGGATGATAATTAGTAATACACTAGGATTAAAAATTTAATTGATTAATTACGATTGAATTAATAAATATGTGGGTCATAATAATTTATAAGCAGCGGGCATTAAAGATTAATAAATAATTTGAGTTTAAAGTCTTTGTACTCTATAAATAACTCATTAAGAACAATCAATGCCTCAAAAGATTCTCCCACAAAAGTTTTGAGTTATGGATATCCTCAAATGACATAGATCATCTTGATTTGTTGGTCGGAGGCTTTGACTATTAATTATAAAGAGGTATTAGATTTGAAACTTACATATGTGATATATGTGTAAGTTTATCTTAATGATTTTAATGTATAAAAAAAAAACTTCTTCAAATGTATTAATTATCACTCATCTAACAATAGGTGCATATTAATGGTACTATTGTTGAGCCTCGCTAATGCCATATGTTCAATCTCAATTAAGGCATGATTGATATAAATCTAATAATGACATAATTATGCAGCTTTAAGCTTGCTCAAAACCCCATGTAGTGTAGATCAAAAAACAAGAAAGGAGTTTTAAGAGTGCTCACAACTCCAAAATTATATTGGAGAAAAACACAACAAGAGAGAGTCTTATTACATTTGATTTGTTGGTTGTTCTAATACTTCATCAAAAGTTATTAATAGAATGCAAAGGCTTCATAATCTCACATACAATCTATTAAACCTTAATACCTACTACTTACCTATGAACTATCATGACCCACACCAAAAAAAAAAAAAAAAAAGAATCATGACCCACACAAATACTAATTCAATTATAAACTAACATGCTACGTGCTAGAAAAATTGTGTCGATGGAGTTGGTATTTTATGCCTTAGCTTTGGATAATAATTCAACACATACATGTTAAAAATTTTAGAAGGTCAGAAAGTTTTTTAGGTGGAAAACATAGAAAGGAAAATCCACAAGGCCTAGCTCAATAGAAAAATCAATTATATGTTAGAAGCTACAATAATCCTTCTTTATTAATAGATGAAGAAGAAGAGGACAATTTGATAATAACATATTTGATTTCTGTTTTATAGGGATCATAAAAGTCTTGTACCCACAAGAGAAAAATTGAAAACCAACAAAAGAATTAAATCTTGACAAAAGTCTGTAGACAGTGGCATAAATTGTTGGTTGTGGTTGTCGGTGAGAGTTGATGATCGTCGGTGGCAGAGAGAACTAGTTGTGGTTATTGGAAACACCGAGAGCTGTAAAATGCAAGTGAGATCTCTTAGTCTCTTAACACTTAGACACCTCTATATAGAGAATGAGACTCTCTTTATAGATTTTTTGAGAGGAGTCCTTTTGTAAATTTGGTTGAAATTCAAAGCACTCTATCATGTCCTGTCAATATTGATTCCTTGGATCACGAAGCATTTACTCAGTAATAAAGTGTCTTAATGATGTTAGAATTGAGTGAACTTGGGCTCGTTGGATTTGTCTCGATGAGCCATTCGATTTGACTATATGTATGCCAAATTTGGAGATCATTTGATCTCCCAATTAGTATCTAAATTATTTATGTATGGTTCAAGTGTTTAATTTGATCTCATGTAGGCTCAGATTGGATCACTTTTGATATCGTTAGGTTCGTCTTGTCCAGATATTTAGTTTGACAATAAGTTTGCTAAAATCAAAGTTCAGATGATCATGCATAAATTTAATTCAGAAAGTTTTTAATTTAAAATTTGTCTCTAGTTTCATGTTGACATGCCAATTTTTCATAGATATATCATTTGTTCCTCTATTTTTGAATGTGGAAATATATTTTAAATCTTGAAAAATATTAAACTTTTTTAAATTTTATTTTATTTTATGTTTTTACACTCTTCCTTTTTCTTCTTTTTATTTCCACCCCTTTAAGTTTCATCTCTTTAATTTTCACTTCTTTAACTTTTACTCATTTAACTTCTACCTTTTTAGCTTCTATAACACCTCTTTAATTTTTGAAATTCCCTATATTTAATTTTTATAACTAATATATTTAACTTTTATAATTCTCTTTTTTTAGGTTTTACAACTCTCTCTCTTTAATATTTATAATTCTCTTTCATTTACTTTTATTTTCTTTAATTTTTCTAACTGCCCTCCCCCATTTTTAAGTACAAATACCCCTCAAAATGTGTGTGTGTGTGTGGGGTAGGGGGGTGGGGTGGAGGGTACCCGCATCATCTTGTTCTCTCTAATTCTTCTCCTAAGAGAGACTTTTCACTATCTTGTATAGGTGGTGCCTCTCCCTTCATAGGATCCAATAAAATATTATCATGGATAACTGGTATGTATAATCCTTTCAAACTCCAGTGCCTTTTCTTTAGGGGAATGCGTTGGTCTTTGCACAACTACTTTTTTTTTCAATCCTTCTACTAAGAGAGACACTTTACTATCTTAAATTAGTAGTGCCTACCAGTTCATAGGCTCCAGTAAAATACTATCCTAGATAAGTGGTGCATATCCCTCTTTCAATCTCTAGTGCCCCTCCTTCAGGAGAATGAATTGTTCTTTTCCAAACTTCTTCTTCTCCAATTCTTCTTGTAAGAGAAGACTTTCACTATCTAGTATAAGCAATGCCTTCCTCTTCATAAGCTCTAGTAAGACACTATCTTGGATAGGTTGTGGGTATTCCCATTTCAAGCTCTTGTGCCCCTCCTTAAGTAGAACTAATTACTCTTAAGTGAAAACTTCCCCACTTCTCCTCTCCAACTCTTCTCCCAAGAGAGGCTCTCAACAATCTTATATAGATGGTGCCTCCCCCTTTGCTCTCCACTAAAATACCATCTTTCATATGTGGTGCATATATCCCTTTCAAGCTTCAATGTCCCTTTTGAAGAGAATGAATCTGGAGTTGTGAGAAAAATCTTAACCCCTCAATTTCTTCTTTGTAGAGTTTAGTTTTACCTCTTAAAAAAGACTTGATACTATCTTATATAAGCTATGTATAATTCCCCTTTCTCAAGCACAAGTAAAATACTGTCATAAAAAGGCGATGCGTACCCCCTTATATGCTCCATTGTCTTCTCAATTAGGATAATTGAA